CAAGAGTCAGGCAAGCGGTGCTGACTGTGTGCTTGGGAATTTGGTCCAGAGTCCCCTTGGAGGAACAGCGTAGCCACAGCGTGGGTTGGCACTTACACAGGATTTTGAAGGTGGGGACGAAAGAGGGTAAAATGGGGACTTCTTTGCTGGGAGGAGAATTCAAAAGGGTAAGGGCATAGGGGAGAATTAACCTGATGTAAGGACAGGAGATGGGAAGAGGGGAGGTGGGAGGAGGGGCAGTGGAGCCCAGGAGGATGCAGTGTGCCACACTTGCAGTGGAGAGGCCCCGCGGGCTGGGCTGGGGCTCAGTGGTAGAGCGCGCGCCCAGCCCATGAGAGGCACTGGGTTCCATCCTCAGCGCCACATAAAATAAAATTTAAAAAAAAATACTGTATCCACCTACAACTAAAAAATATTGGGGAGAAAAAAGGCCCAGGGTCCAGTACTGTGCATCTCCCCACTGCCCCTTTGCACCGTGGTCCAAGCTCTCTGGTTCCTCTGCCTCCTCTTCAGTGACATGAGGGTGTCATTTCCCGCTCTAGTGACTTTGCAGATGGGCATAAGGATGGAACAAAACTGCAGAAGTGAGCGCCTTTTAGATAGGAAGGGGCCTGCGGCACTGGGCAGTGACATCATCACAGAGCACCTGGCCGGGGCTTGGGGAGAGGGTTGATAGCCAGGAGGACAGCAGGGTTGAGGGTGGCTGTGACAGATATTAGTCAAATGGCAGGACCCAGAGATTTTGCAACCTCTTAAACTAGGGGATTTAATTGTGGGTTAGAGCCGAATTTAACTCTTCATTTTGTCTTTCTGACCAGCTAAACATGCAGAGAAATTTAGGGATGGGGAGGGGGCTAGGTATCCAGTTGCTTTACTCTCTCTCTTTTTTTTTTTTTTTTTTGTGCTGGGAATTGAGCCCATGAACACTCAGTCACTGAGCCACATCCCCAGTCCTTTTTATATTTTATTTTGGGACAGGGCTTCAGTAAGTTGCTGAGGCTGGCCTTGAATTCCCAATCCTCCTGCCTCAGCCTCCCAGGCCACTGGGATTACAGACATGTGTCACTGACAAATTGCTCTGCTTTTGTTTTGTAATGTGAATACTCATGCCTTCCCACTTGGGGCAGCTGACCAAAGGACATGGTACACTGCCAACCTTAGGTTCGTTTTGTATGTGAAGTAAGGTTATGTTGACTTACGGCCTTTCTTCTGTGAGTGCTGAGTGCTGTGGGGTCAGACCAGAGAAGACTTGGGCAGGTGGTAACAGCTCAGCCTCAGCAGGTCCAAGTCAAGAGCTTTTGACTTGAGGTTCCCCTTTGATAAGTAGCAGAGAGTGTATCTCTCCCATGCCAGAGCAGGACAGCTGGGTCCACGCACTTCAGGAGGATCTAAAGTGGGGCTCTGGTTGGTGGCCGAGCCTTCAGAGCTCAGCTGCCAGCCTCTGGAGCAGGTGGTACTCCTGGTCTCAGCAAAATCACACACTGTCCAGGGATTCTCCAGGCCCAGCCCAGTCTTCCCACATCTTTCAGTCCCTGGCTCTGGAGAGCAGGTAGCCCTCCTGGCTCCAGGAGACAGAGGCCTGGGATACAGATCAGGAGTGTCTGTTCCCTATTCTGTCCTTGCGTCTCACCTGACAGAGGCTAGAGCATGGTGGCTCTGGCCAGCCCTGTCCTTAGAGCATGTGCAGGACGAGGCTGTCTCCTGCAGGGGGCGCCATGCTGTGCTATCCAGAGCCTTGCCCTGCCAGGCTTGGGAGAAAATAAATGTGTGTGGTTTGAAGCCACCCATGGTAGTGATAACTTGTTACATCAGCCACAGGAACCTAATGCAAAAAGTAGGGAAGGCGTTAGAGATGGCTGGACATTGGGGCCTGAGCAACAGGAGTAGGCAGTGCATTTCAGCTGCACAGGGGACATAGAAGGGCAGGTCGCCCTGTCGGGTTGGAGACTTCAGAACATGCTAAAAGAGTCGAGGCCAAGTTCTGCCTGCAGCGTCTTGGGAACATGAGCTGCCTTGTGTCCATCAAGACTCTGGCAAGGCTGTCATGGGGACTTTGGTGTGCAGCTAAGCTCACTGACCCGGAAAGAGAGATTTTTGAGTGGCCCCATTTGCACCCTCCCGGGTCTGTCATGAACTTCATTCCCAGAGATCAGTTTGAGGATTTCATTAGAAATCAGAGTTGGGTTTTTATTTGTTTCTTAAGAAAAACATTTGTCTGCAGTGACTGGCGTCCCTGCCTCCTGGAATGATTCGGGCGACAAGAGTCCTTGAACAGAGGCTGAGTTTGAACTGATCAATGGCATTTGGGGGTTGGAAATTTGCTCGGGAGCCAGCTAATTTATAATGTCATCTGGGCTAGACTGGAAGACCCAAGAGGATAGGCTGTCTCTTGGCTTTTTATTTCATCTTTTTTTAAAAGGAAAAAGAAAACATCAAGTGCCACATCTGAGCATTCAGAGATGGACTCTGCCCCACTAGACCATCAGGGGACTGGGGCTGGTCCTTCTGCCCAAACCTCTTTCTTCCCAAAGACCTTGGCTCCACCACCATTCCCGTCTCTGTCCTTTGTCACTCTGGATGCCTGCTCCCGCAGTTGCTGCCTTGTGGCTCTAGCTAATTTGCAGAGGACACCTGTTTCTTAATTAGCCCCAGCTCAAGGTCTGCGTCTTCATCTGGCTCCCTCTGATGCGTGAGCTTGTGGCCCATGGCAGGGCTGCTGTTGGGCGGTCTGCGCGTGTCGGCTGCCACTCAGTGGGCCCTGAGCTTCCCCAGTGGTGCCGCCAATCTGTGCTACTGAGCTTTAAAAGGAAAAGCAGCCACATCCCAGCCCCTGTCCATGGATTCCACAGCTGTTGGTCACATTTTCCAAAAGACCCTTTCGCTGCGAGTTCCCCTTCTGAGGACAGATCTGCGTCCCCAGGACCCGGCATGAGAACATAGATGGGGGTCGACTGTCATTCACACTCCGCTAGGTTCTTACTCCCCACCACTTGATCTGCTCCTCACACACAGGTCCTCTTCTACCTTTTGTAGGGGCGTGTGCCTGGTTTCTACATGGGGACGCCCTCAGTGGCTAGGATTGCGTCGCAGGGTTTTACAAAATGGGGCTACTGTGTCCTGAGGTGCACTGAGGAGGAGGATGAAGTTGGACAAGGCCTCAGAGTGAGGGTCCCCAAGGGTAGGACGGAGGCACCCTTGGGGATGGTTCTGTTTTCCTCTACCCTTATGTGGTGGAACCTTCTGAAAAATAATCCTAAGGCTCTAAGATGAGATCTGACCTCCCCTGTCAACCACCCTTAGAATTCTGACCCCACATCTGGAGAACTGTGTTTTCAGTGGGAGGCATCCCAGGTCAAAGGTGAGCCACCAAGCCCTGGGCACACCAGGACTCCAGTTTCCTGCAGATCACAGTTACTTGGAAACATTGTGGCAAGTGGCTCTGTATTTATTCTTCCACCTGATGTCCCCTTCTCATCCTTCAAGAGAGAAGTTCATCAGTGGAAAGTTCCCCTGAAGTGGTAATTTTCCTAAATGACTGGCTGATGGTGCTGCATACAGACTCGCAGGCCAGAGGTGGTGGCTGTGTGGGCATTAGTTTCCGTGTCCCAGCTCCTGTCCCTGGGCCTGAGAGCCCTTGCCTTTGCCAGGGGAGTCCCTTCTCTGCCTTCCCCGTCACCGTAGCCTCGTGGAAACACGTCTCCTTCCCCTCTCCTGAACGGAAGCAGCGCGGTTCTGAGGCTCCCAGCAGAAAGCCTTCTCCAGTTCTCCCAGCCCTGGTGGCTGCCAGGGTGCCTTCACCCACCCAACTAATTAGAGCCTTTTCCTTTAAGGGGCACTTGAGTCCTTCAGCCGTTGTTCTCACAGCGATAATGGACTTGGATAAGAGGTCACAGCTTCTCCCACATCCTGCTCTCCTCATGGTGGGGGCGGGGTGGGCTCACCCCCCTTCTGTGGGGCTCCTGCCTGTCTGGCACAGGGACTGACCCCAGGCTGGGCAGCTGCCACGGATGCACCCCAATCACAAGACCACGAGCCGGCTCCCCACAGGGCCCCCTTCCCACCTTCGCTGGCTTCAGAGTCATCTGCCGCATCTCCAGTGAGTGTCATCAGCGCTAACGTGATCAAATGGCACAGTGTAAATGTTAATCAGGTCTGATGCCTCGCCGGCTTCCGAGTGGCAGATTGGAAATGGCACCATCATCTTAACTCCGAGGAGCAGCTTCTAATTCTTCTGCTCCCTGAGCATCCACTTTGGCAAGGAAAGCCTAAAGTGCCGCGGCCCTCCCAGTCTGCCATGCCACAGCCACACTACCCCGGTGGCTTTTGCAAAGAGGGTCCAAACTTCCCACAGAGTTTTCTAACACAGGGTTTATTTTATTTTACTTTAAGTAAAAACACTTACCCTGATGTCCAAAGAGAAGGTGACCAAGAGGACTGGTGCTCCAGGCCCCTCCCCTCCCCTCCCCCAGACTCCCTCCCTAATGCAGGACATGCTCCTGAGCAAGAAGCCCGGGCGGCCGCCAGCTCTCGTCCCCCAGCTTCCCCTTCCATTTGCCATGAAAACGTGGCTGATGGACAGCGTCCTGATTAATCCTCTTCTCCCAGCCCTTCAGAAGGGCTGTCCTCTCTACCGTGCTGTCTGCTGGAGCCTGCGTCCCTGCCTCCCTGTGTCCTTTCTTCCCAGTAACAGGGCATGTCTGGTGTTCCTTTTGATCCTGATCTTGCTGCCATCTCCTAGCGGATCTGCGCTTGTGGCCAGGGCAGTGCTGTAATGTCACCTGGGCCTTGCTCAGCAAGTGCAGTAGTGTCTGAACATTATGAGTGAGCGGTGGCAGGGAGGCAGGGCTCTGGGCCTCCTGTCCCACCGCTGGCACTTGGCACTTGCCCACAGTGACACATTTGAACCCTGGGAGCCTCCACCAGTGCCGGGTGCCCTGGGGTGGGTGGGAGCCATCCCGTCCTCCACTTCTGCTGTCCCTCACCGCTCTTCCCCCACCCAGGCCATCTTCACTCTCCTCCTGGGACCTTTCACCTTCTTTGACGTCCAGAAGACCAAGTACCTGCAGATCCTGACCTCGCTCATGAGATGGATCGGTGAGTCTGAGGAACCTCTCCATTCTCTGCCCTCCTCCCCTTGTCCCTTCCTCCACCTCTCCGGAGAGGCTGGGAAAGCTCCCAGCCGTGACTGGAACGTGAAGGTGGCCTCCATTAACTCAGCCTGCCTGGTCCTCTGACCTTTCCAGAGGGCGAGGAGGAGGCTGGTGCCCTACCCGCCTTTCACTGGTGGGGAAATTTGATACCAAAAAAAAAAGTGATTTTTTTTGAGGTCACATTGTGTGGCTGGATCTGGGCTAGGACCTGGACTGCGGACACATGGCCAGCCTCCTTCCCAGAAATCATGTCGGGTCCCTGATGACCCACAGGCTGGCGGCAGGGGGCTGCCAAAGGCCTGGCTCAGGCTGTGCCCATTGCAGAGGTCAGAGCAGCACCACCCTGCCTTCTGGTGGGTACCGCATGAGGCAGCCATAAACCCAGGGGGCCAAGGCAGCAGCACTGTGTGGCTCAGAGTCCTGGATCTCAGAGCATGAAATGACACCCCGTCCACCATGGGTTCTAACCAGCTGACGCCTTTGAGTTAAAGCTGGAGCCCAGGGTCTCTTCCCCTCACCAGCGGGCAGTCGGGAGCTTGTTCACTTCCAACAGGCCTCCCACCCCCTCAGCAGATGCCGCTGCTGATGCAGCTGGGCTGAGAGCAGCTGTGGGGCTCCGGCTGCCCACCCCCAGCCTGTGCTCTGGGCATCCGCTGGACACTTGTTTTGCTTTATATAAAAGCAAAGATAAGCCAGGCACGGTGGCTTACGTACAACCCAGCACTCGGGAGGTTAAGGGAAGATGGTTTGAGACCAGCTTAGACAACAAAACCCCGTCTTGAAGAAGAAAGAAAAAAGAAAAAGGATAAAGGCATTAAAAAATGAAAAACAAAAGCAAAGAAGGCCATTGCTGTTCTGTTAGAGAGGTCTCGGGCCCGTGGGTCTGCCTGGTCCCCAAGGGCTGCCCTGCCCCTGGCATGGGGGGTTCCAGAGGGACCCTCTGCCTGTCCTCCTTCCCCACTGTCTTTCCCAGCCCCTTTGCCTCCACATCTGCCCTTCCCCGCATCAGGACTCAGGTACAGGTCCCTTGTTCCATGCTAGGACCCAGGTGGATGGGCAGTGGTGCTCTGAGGAAGGGTATACCCAAACGACTTCCAGAAATTCTGGCCTCTGTGCTTCCCTCGTCCCCCCAACTCAGTGTGAGCAGCAAGCGCACAGGAGCCCTCATGCCCTCTTCTGGTCAGGCAGTCCTGCCCGCCCCTGGAGGGAGCCCATCGGGAGCAGGCAGCCTCCCAGGCCAGGAGTGTGACAGCAGAAGGCGCCCGCTCTGCTAGGAGGGACCCATGGCAGTGCTGGAAGTTCTTCCTTGACTCTGCTCCAGCCTGCACCTTCTTTCCACTCTTGGTCTGTCCTTGTGAGGACGTGAGAGCAAGGCCAGGATCAATTCTGAGCCCTGCAGGAGCCCGCTGTTCAGATGTGAGCCTTCAGCCTCTGGCGCCTTTCATCATCCAGCAAGGAATGAGGGGAGGGATTCCTGGTCTTCCCCTGTGAGATCTGGTTCATCCTCACCCTGGGGCTGCTGTCTCCAGTTTTGTCCCCAGGGTTAACATGACAACCTGAGTCACGACAGGAGACAAGAACTTGAATCACCAGGGTCACGGGAGCTCCTGGATAGACCACGTGGGGACACAGCCCCTGTGGGACTTGTAACCAGAGGTCAGGGTCAACAGGGAGCAGAAACGCAGGCCACCCACCCTCCTCCTATTGCTCTGCCTCCCCAGTGAGCAGGATCTGGAGAAGGACTCTCCCTCCTCGCCTCCCCGGCCTATTCTGTGTCCCAGCTCATTAACTCCTGCAGCCAGTTCTGCAGCCCTGAAGTGACTCCTGCCCAGTGTGCTTGACTGTCCTCAGCCTGGGTGCTGGCCCAAAAGCTGAGCTTTGTTTTGTTTCTTTCCCTGTCCTGGGCACGAGCAAGGGGCAGAGGTACAGGGGATGCACATGCTTCCCCTGGTGTGATGGATCCCCCTGTCAGCCCACAGGGGACAGCCACCCGGATGATGATAGCTAACAGCTTCTGCAGCACCCCTGCGTCTATCGAGTGCAACAAATTCCTCTCTGCGTCTGGGTAGCAATACATTCATCTAAAGAGAGGAGCTTGTGGTGGGCATGGTGGCGCACCCCTGTAATCCCAGCCACTGGGAGACTGGGGTCGGAGAATTGCAAGTTTGAGGCCAGCCTCCGCAACTTAGTGAGACCCTATCTCAAAGTAAAAATGATTTGGGTGTGGCTCAGTGCCAAGGGATTCTATCCCCAGTACCCAAGTAAATAAACAAGAGGCCCAACTCATACCAGATTGTGTCAGAGGAGCCACCAATCTCCTGTTGCCTGCAGGCCCACCATTCTCCCCTGCTCCCTTCCCATTCTCCCCTCCCCCAGGATCTAGCTCAGGAGTGGAATCAGCTCGGGCTTGAGAAAACCAACTGCTGTTACCCCAGTGGCGGGCTGCCCTGTCCTCTCATGGTGTCCACCAGGCACCAGGCACTGACTGCAGTGTCACCCTGGGCCCTCACTCCAAGGCTCTTCTGTGAAGAGGCCCCGCTCACCAGTCCTGGGTCTCCTGAAGCCCTGGAGGCAGCCCTGAGACCAGCATCCGAGTGTGAGCAGGGACCAGCTTGTGAAGGTCACGGGCACTTGTCTTCTGGTGGTGACACAGCTGTCTTGACACGTTGTCTTTGCAGCCAATTGCCTCTTTTCTCCCTTTGATCTGAGAGATAATCAAGTGTCAGGAGTCTCGTGGGCAAGCCGCTGTGGGGGACAGCGCAGGCAGCCAGTTTTCTCCATGAGAGACTCAGACCCCTGGGCTTGAGAAGCAGACCTGTCACTGACACAGAGCATGTCCAGGAAGAGGCAGGTGCCCAGTGAAGTAAACTGAACCCTGGTGAGCCAGACTTTTGTCCCTCTGGGGTGGCAGTGCACCTGGACATTTTTCCTCTTGGCCTGGGAGCAGGTGATTTTCTCCTCCTGACCCCAGCTGCAGTATGCAGGGGAGGAGCAAGGGAACAGAGGCCACGGAATCCCCTGCAGCCACCAAGCAACACCACGTGGGCAGCCCTGTCAGGGGGAAGCCCCTCGGTCTGCCTGCTAGACCTTCACAGGTCTGCTAGGAACAGGGGCTGGACCCTGCGGAGGGTGTCTGTCCTCTGGGCTAAGCTCACCCTGGCAGTCTTTCTAGAAGACCCTGCAGGCAGTGGTCTCTGAAGCCCCACTTGTCTTCTCAAGTCTCTGCCAAGCTGTCTGCCGAGGAGCTCCCTTTCTGTTTGCCTCTGAAAAGCAGCTGCATGGCCCATCCCCGGACACGACCCCCCCCATGCTCACCCCCACCCCCGCTGCACACTCCCCGCCTCTCCCCTCTCCCTAGATTAGGGACAGGCCTTTCCAAGAGCCGTGGGGAGCTTGGGGTGGCAATAAGCTGGCTTGGCTTCCAGGAGACCAAGGGGAGAATGGGTACCAGAGGGACCAGAAAGCCATGAGTGAATGTGCTGAGCCGGAAGCTTTCTCATGCTTAATTAGGAATTTGTTCTGCCATCTGTTGAAATGAGGCCAGGGGAGATCACAGGCCCTAGAGCTCTGCCGAGGAGCCGCCGGCCAGTTCCTCCGAGGCCTTTGCCCTGCCCTTCCCAGAAGTCCTCTCGCTCTGCCAAAGTAGGACTTAAAGAGTTAAATGGCCTTTTGAAACAGCTGCTTGTCTAGGGGAAGTGAAAGAATATGGATGACAAGTGCCAAGGTCGGTTCATTCTTAATGTGCCAAAATTAAGTTCTGGGGACACCAGATTGGTCACTGTGGGATCCCTGGACTGCAAAGACCTCTCAGTTCTCATGTGCAAGGAGGGTTTCTCTGTGCAGTCCCAGAAGTGAGACTTGTTCAGGCCTTAGGTGACCAGCCCCCTTGGTCCTGCAGTCTGCGCCCCACAGGCAGCCACTTCAGGTCTGCCGAGGTTTCTGAGCGCGGGGCCCAGCTCCGGGGGCTGGTTTGCTGTGAGTGCTGCACCTACAGTTGTCACACTGCAGGCCTCACCTGCTTCCCTTGGCGTGGGTCAGACAGTGTCTCTCCCACCACGCACAGCAGACCAAGCGCCCTCTGCCAGGCTCCACGTCGGGGCCGTGGGGGTGAGGACTCTCCCAATCAGCAGCTGTGAAGACAAGTGGGATTGTGTAGCAGGTACTCATTAGCCCCGTGGCTGGCACCTGGTCAACACACAGATGCAAGCCACAGTGACTAGCGTCACCCTTGTCATCTCAGCCAGCTTTCACACCTGAGAGTAGCCTCAGAGTTAATCCCCTCAGGGGCCAGTCATGGGTACAGGGACGAGACCTCAGCCTGGTCCAGAGAGAGCTGTAGTGCTTAGTGACCGAGCTGGGTGTCCACAGTGTAAGGCTTCTCCTCCCTGCACCCCAAACCTCCACGCCAGCACCCTCAGGGAAGCGCAGCCTGAGGGCAGGGAGAAGCAGGCCCTTCCCCTGCTGGGCGAGGGTTTCTCTCCAGCATCCAGCTCACCGTCAGCAGCAGGTGGACAGGGACCCTGGAGAGGGAGCCACAGCACCATGCTTTGTCCCCACAGGCCCAGGGACCATGACCTTAGGGCCGGAGCCTCCAGCAGCTCGACTCACACCTGTGGTGGCCCCGCCCTGCATGCCCAGTGCTGCCCAGCAGGGAGTTCTGGGGCTGGAAGGGGCCACTGTGGCATGATTATTTCAGTCCCCTGCCTGCTTCCCCAGGCAGACGCCTCCCACAGGGGGACACAAGCAGCTGGCTCAGCTCAGGGCGTCCCACTTGGCGTTATTAAAAGTCAGATTCTTTCTAATAAAGGCTCTTGCCCTGGAATGCCGCCGCCCTGCTCAGGCCTGGGCTGTCGAGGACCCGGGCCTCCCTCCCCTCTGCTTGTGGATTCAGAGCAGATGCTCACAGTCTTCTGCTTTGTGTTCCCCTCAAAGTGGGTCAGACGC